AGGCGGGGAGGAGTGGCTGACTGGTAGTTGTGAGTGAGGGGCCGCTGTCCCCGGGCGGGGAGGAGTGGCCGGCCATGGTGAGTGAGGGGCCGCTGTCCTTAGACTAGGTGGAGCGGCCTGCTGAGGCACGGGAGTCGTTTTGGTGCGTCCTACCCTGGCTGGGTGGGAGCCAGTGGCCAGACACAGAGTTCGGCGTGTTCCTGCCTGGTCCTGCCTGGTCCTGCCTGGTCCAGCGTGGTCCTAGGTGGTTCTTGCAACTCCCTGGGCCAGGCTGGCAGCCTCTGAATAACTTCACTCCCTGTGCTGTGTCTGTGCAGAGTATTGGGAGTGGAACTGAGCTTAGAAATATCCTTGTTTGCAGGAGGCTGTGGGAATATACAGCAGGTGACAGCTTGCGTTTGACAGGTGGACCCACCAGATGTATAACTCTTTGTTGGGGAGTCTCACTAGGGAAAGACCATGATGGAGCCCCACTAAATAAAATCCACGGGGTGGCCCCATTAGGTAAAGCAGTGGGGTCACTGGCTGTAACTGACTGGTTGTTTTCTGCCTGTAACTCCTCATGTGCCACCACCACCTTACCTCCCTAATAAGAACAGCTGTGGAGTTTTTTCCCACAGCCCTTTGGCAGTGTGTTTTACATCTTTGGGCACACTTACAGTTGTGGATGGTCGGGAAGTTGATTTCTGTTTAAGCTGTATAATTCTGATGTATAGAAGTAATACCAGAATATTCCTCTTTACTGACACAGGAAAGTAACAGTATTTTCATTCTCAAAGACGGCTAATTTTAGACTTGAGAACAGATTCAATCAGACTAAACTGCCCCTGTAGAAAATACACAAAGACTAATCCAGGTATGACTCAGTTATGTCAGCTCAGTGGTTTGAGAGACAGGCCGTTGGCTGTAACTCCATGTGTCAGCTAACAGCCCTTAGTGGCTATGGGACAAAGTCATACAGTGTCTTTTAAAGGACATTTTCTCTACCAGGGAAGTGCCTGCTCTGTTTCAAAGTCAGTATAGTTTAGTGTTCTTCCAATTATTTTTATCATTTTAAAAAGTCAATTATTGGTATCATTTTTAAAATTTATTTTTCTTTAAATGCATTGCTGCTATAATCTCTGTGTTTCTTTTTTCATATATATATATATTGGTTTAAGAATTTCATTCTATTTTTTTCTTGAGTGCTATTTATTTTTTTATTTATATTGGTTTAGAGCAGTGGTTCTCAAGCTGTGGGATCTCAGCTCCTTTTGGGGATCAAATGACCCTGTCAGAGGACTGGCCCAAGACCATTGGAAAACACAAATATTTATATTGCAATTCATAACAGCCAAATTATAGTTATGAAGTAGCAGTCAAAATAATTTTATTGATGGGTAAAGGGGTCACCACATCATGAGGAACTAACTGTATTAATGAGTAACAGCATTAGGGATGTTTAGAAACACTTGTTTTCATCAGTGCCTCATGTAGCTCAGGCTTGCCCTACTTTATATAATTAAGAATTACTTTTGAACTCCTAATCCTGCCTCTGCTGCCCAGTGCTGGAAAGGCAGTCCTGCAACTCCTTCCAGGCTGGGTCTTGACTGGTCTGTGGGAAGGAAAAATAGACCAGTGAATGAATATCCTCCAAGTTCTCTAGATTTTATTGTGAACTTACAAATGAAGTGTGACATGTGTAAGAATTGCATTCACTGAAGAACTGTAAAGCAGGTGTAGTCACAGCACAGTAAGGGAGGGGCAAGAAGGCAGGTGAAAGCTTTCCTGTTTGACAATAGTTGACATTAGCAATGAGTATTTAGGGAATCAATTTTAGATGATCAATAAATGTTCTGACTGGCCATTTCTTGGGTCCAGAGACCAGACAATCAAGAAGCTGGATAAAGAACTGAACTTATCATTAAACCAAATTATTGTAGTTCGACCTAAATAGAAAAACTGGATAAAAATGAAGTGGCCCTGCCTATCATGACTGTTTTCCAGGTTTAAGATGATAACCTCGAGAGAAATGGCATGAGTAGTACTTGGTGTGCTCTAATACAAATCCCTAGTCTCTGGAGCACATGGCCATAAAGGCTGTTTCAACTTGTTAAGATTTTTTTGGGGAGGGTGGGGAGGATTATAATTACACTATTTCCACTATCTCTTTCCTGCCTCCAAACCCTTCCATAAACTCTTCTTTGTATTCTAACTCATGGCCTCTTTTTGTTTAAGGACAGTTACTGTTTGAATGTAACCTGTGTTTGGTTGAAGGACCTCCCAGGTATAAAGCAAAGGGTTGGCTGCACTGGACATTTAGTATGTAATGGAATGTGCACACATAGGACCCTGCGCCTTGGAAGAGGAGCAGGAAGTGCTCTGGGCGATTGGAGGGTTTTACTAAACTACAAATTTCCCAGACTAGGGACCTCTCTGTCCATAGGGTGGAAAGGCAGAGCTGGGAAGGTCTGTGCTGTCTGCTGAGACCCAGCTGGGTGATCTTAGCTAATGAGGAACTCTGGGAAGGCTTTGCAATCAGGCCTACCAGTGGAAGGTAGCTTGCAGGTCTTTCCAGACTTCTCTGTTTCTGATATAGGGAGCTTTGAGGGAGACCACAGGCAATGTTCATGGTGAGTGTTGGGGCCAGTGACCCCAAACTTGAAGGAGCACTTCTGCTGAGCTGTCAGAGCTGCTGGGACTGGGAGGGACCATTGGGCAGTGGAAGACTTTCCTCTGAGCCTCGCTGAATGTAGATTCCCTGGCGAGGACAGGGCTTTGCCACCATGGCTATGGAAGGTTGTAATGCTGTGTACAGTGTGCATACACAGGCATTTCTTTTGGTGTGCAGTGGAAAGACAGATTGGAAAACTAAAGGTCTGGTTTCTAGAAGTAAGTTCTGACCATTGCATTCCACGTTCAGATTTGTCTTATTAATGTTACAAATGGTTGAGCAACTGGTAGAAAGATAGTGATGTGGATCATCCTTCAGCAGTACATGATTAGAATGCTTTTAACTTTCTGCTACTACAAATCATCATGGAGTGACTCAGTAAAGTTCAGTTCCAGGGAACAAAAGGAGTTTCTGATGTGTAGAGATTTTCAGATGTGCATGGTGTTGGGCAGGTAGATTGGGCAGATTCCACGTCTTGTGCCATAATCCATGTGGCAGGAAACAGATTTTAATTTATTCTTGGGTTATTTTGGGATTGGGTATCAGTGGGGCTGAGTTTATCAAAAATCACCAGGAGGCATGAGGGACTGCAGAGCCATAGCTGGAGATCACCTCCATTTGCAGAGAGACCTCTAGAGCATGCAGCTTCTCTCTTTGGGAGAAATATCAGTGGCTGGAGGATCAGAAACATAAAGTTTAAGGATCACTTTGAGTTAATTTTGTGAAAGTTGTGAACCTGCATTTATTTAATTTCTGTACACAGAGAATCATAGGTAGTTGGGTAACACTGATCAAGCCCACACTTTTCCTATCTGAGGTTCCTTTGGCGTTTTGACTAAAAGTTGACTACATTTTTTCTGCCATTGTTCTTGGCTTTTCTCTCTATCCCCATTATTCTTTCACAAATATTGTACACATTCTTGATTACTGTAGCTTTGTGGTAAGTATAGAAGTCATATTGTGTCAATTTGTGTACTTTTTTTTCATAATTCCATTGAGCATTCTGAGTATTTTTACTATGAAAGTAGCTTTGGAATCAGCTTTCCTGTTATAAATTGTTGGTCATTGACATTGGATTCTATTTATGTCAATTTACGATGCATATTTACCATACACAACATCTTAATACTGATGCATCATGTTCCCAAGGATCTTTTCTTTCCATCTTTATTTATTTTGGCTTTGTTGTTGTTAATCTATGGAAGACTTTTATTTTATTGGATACAAAGTACTATGGGTCATGGCAGGTGGCTCTGCTCATCTTCTTCTTGGTGATGACCTGAGTTCACATACCTACTACTCCAGATACACAACATCTGATACCCTCTTCTTTGTGTGTGTCACCTGTATAAATATGGAAGACATTTTCTGTCACATACACACACACACACACACACACACACACACACAGCAATAAACTTATTTTCAAAAGTGCTTGTGACTTATAATGCAATTAGAGCAAAACAAGTTGCTTTAGGTGTACACTGTTTCATTAAATATCTGTTATCTTGCATTTTGTTTTAAAAAGTTTTCCTTTCCTCACTCTGATGCAGACTTACATCCAATCATAAGAAATAAAATGCTATTTAAGTGATCCTAACAGATATCCTTTTCTTTATCATAGGAGAATCAGATCCTTTTTATCTACAAAGTTAAAACGTCATTTTTGGGAAAATGAACTTTCACCAATTTTTGTATTCAGAAATTTTATTATGTTTTGTGTTCCTTGAGTTTTTGTTGATTTGGAAACTTTCTGTGGAGAGATGATTTTGTTTTTCTTTTCTTGATCTTAGAGGCTTGCCTTTTCCTATTTCCTAGCATATCTGTTTTGCTATCTTCATGTTTTTTTTTTTTTTTTGCTGCTTAAGTGATTGATATGGTTAATACATTGACTTTGAATCTTTAAAGACTCCTCATATATTATTGTCTCTTTTTCCTAATTATCCTCAGCTGCCAACATGACATAGCCTAGAGTCAATTGAGGGTATGCCTAGATCAGAATATCAGGTTGTCATGTCTGAGAGAGTTGTGTTGATTGATGATTGATGTGGGAAGGCTCTTCCACTGAGTTGGCAATATCTCTTAGAAAGTGGTCCTGAACTGGAAAAGAGAGGTATCTGAGCATGAGACAGTGACAAAGCAAGAGATAAAGCCAAGAAACAATGTTTCCCTATATTTTGCCTTCAGTTATTAGCTTGAGTTTTTATCCTAAGCTCCCATAATGATGGACTGTGATCTAGGGGTATCAACCAAATAAACCTGTTCATTACCTGAGTTGCTTTTGGTTTGAAAATTTAATCACAACAATAGAGAAGAAATTTAGAACAATGACAAAAAAAATGGTACCTCAAAAGTGATTTTGCTGCTGCAAAGGTCCTGGAATGTTGATGTTTGGATAAATGTTGAAGATATCAGAACTTTAGA